TCTGCTTCAGTAAAATTGAGTATTTGCTCTGCAGTAATTAATGCATGAGGTGTGTTGGCCAGTTCAGTTCAGAGAAGGCTGTAACAGTGTTACATTTTACAAATGCATCAGATTTTGTTTTAACGTAAGACTAACTGCAGCTGTCAGATTACCGTAGTGCAGTAAAAAGTACAGTATGTCCCTCTGACATGTAGTGGAATACAAGAGGAACATGGCAGTACAAGTAACTTAAGTTGTACTTAAGCCATTGACTAAATATTTTTATTGTCCAACAACACACTTCGGTTGCCTGACAGAGCAACAGCTCCTGAGCCGTCACAAACATCAAAATATGTCAGAAACTTTTATTGCATTTGACAAAAACCGAGAAACTATTTTAAACAAACCTGTTAGTTTGTGAGGAAGGTCAGTTATAACAAACCCCAGGTTAAATCCAAGAAAGTATTTTTCTCATAACAATAATAAAAATGTACATCCTCATTAATTTTTAAAAAGAATAAGACTTCAGTGACAGACTGTTAGAAGACGCTGGCGGTCGGTGTATAAACAGTGAGGCAGCAGTGTGACAGATGTTCCAGCCTAGCAGGTTCAATACCAACTGTTCAGTGTGTCAGAAAATCCTCATTGCCCCCAGGAAGTCTGGTTTAGTTTCAGATGTCTGTTAACACCAAAAGTCTCTTATTGCTCTTTGTGCCTGTAAAAGTCTCCTACAACAATGACTGATGATAATCAATAATCCCAACCACCCTTCCAGTTGGAAGGACACTGAAGATGCTGGTTCACACCTTTTGATTATCTCCAAACAAACAGCAGGAACTTTAGGGAATGGAAGGGGAATCAAAGAAGCAAGAGCATCCATGATTCAGTCAGAGAAAAAAAAATTCAAAACTTCAGAGCTCCTCAGTTTTCATTAAAAAAGTATTTGTCATCTTGTTCCCTTAAGACAACACGGCCAAATGGCTTCAGATCCTTCAACTGTGAAAACAAGGAAGAAAAAGTAGAATGAGAATGAATAGCAGAGAAAGATGACAAGGGCATAAAGTACAAGAAAAGATGAAAATAGAAGAACATGTTGGAGAGGAGTGGAACAGAGGAAGTACTGCAAGTGAGATGGTGCAGTGGAGGAGGAGGCTGGGTGGAATTCAGTACATGGAGCTGCTGACCCTCCTGTGCACAGCCTGCAGCAGGAGCAGAGAGTACTCCTCCAGCAGAGCCGCTGTCTTCACCTCCCCCACTCCTCCCAAGCCCCCATCTACTCCCAGCATGCTTGGCGAGCTGAGTGGCAGAGAGTCTAGCTCCGCCCTCATGGACTGGAAGGCCTCTGATAGGAGAATGGCCATCTGACACTGCTCGGTGGCAGGGACATCAGGAGAGGAGCCATTCACCTGGAAGAGGAGGAGAAATACAGTTGAGCATCAGACTGAAGGTTAATACTGTAGTTGTTAAGGTCTGATGTGAACAAAATTCATTCAGGCAAATCATCCCAATGATTGTTTATTAGTACAATAATTGAAAGGCAGTTCAACAGTCGGAAAGATAGGGAACAGAATCACCATCCCTGCAGAGAAATAAACAAAAGTATTAGATAGGAGAATTATCAAAGAATCAGTCAGTGATTGTTGACAATACAGGACAGTCAGAGTCCAGAGTTGGGTCGGTCCCCTCCTGGCCAGGTTCTTGCTCCCCCACCCCGCACACACTCTCCCTAGCTCTCTTTATCCACAGGGTCTTGCGTCAATTTCCAAACTTAGCTTCCTGTCTTCACTGTGTTAGGTATTTTTAGTCAGATAGAAATTGGATAGATACTTTATGTATTAGAAATGTTTAGTGGAGATAGGATGTCTAGTTAGACTGTTAAATGCTTAGTCATGCTTATGAGTTTCTACAGGGTACATCTGGTCAAGGATAACTAGAGAGAAGAGTTGATGACTGTCAGCAGACAGGATGTTTAATATTATTATTATGACGTGTATAACTGTAGCCTTAGCCACAATATGTTCTTATGTTTAAGTCACGACATGTTCTAGAAGTCTGTGAGAATGTTTTTAGCTACACACCACTTAATCAACAGACACACACAC